GCTCTCTCCTCTTCGGCTGCCTCGTGGCTATGACCCTGTCTGCGGTGCCCGCTTGGCGCTAGATCGTGAACCCTGGTCCTGCATGGCATCGACGTCCTCCGGCCTTGGCACGAGCCTTTGGCACACGCCATATCATGGCTACACGCTTCCTGCACGTATGCACATCACAGAAGCAGCGCCACGACAAAGGCGGCCGCCCATTGTTCTCGACATCCATCATGAGAATCTTCGCAGCGGGCCAAATCAGGACCCGCAACAAGCTGACACGATCCAAGACAAGCGCAAACACGTACAAGCATGTTATAAGCCTCCCAGATGCTCTGGGGTCTATTCATGTACCGGTGGCGCTCTGCCTGGCTCACGCAGCGGAGCTCACGGACATCCGTCATCCCCACCCCATCCCCACCCCAACATACCCCAACCAGACCGGTGTTGCCAGCACGTGCAGCTGGAAGAGCAGCGGCCCGCAGACGATCGCCGCCGCCACGGCCTGACCCGCACTGACACCCGCAAAACAGACTCCGAACACACAGCTCGCCGCTGGACTCGCCTGCGTCACTGCAGGCTGCCTCAGGGACAGGAGGTCGACCAGAAAGTCGAGCACGTCCTGAGCAGCTGAAACATGATGGGGAGCGCGAGATCTGGCTGGCATCACAAGATGCAGAGTGGCAGGGTCCTGTTCCTTTGCCATCGCAGCTTTCAGGGCACCACACTTGCCCTGCTGCATGGCCGCTGTCATTTGTGCCTCGGCTCTGTCGACATGCTGTCGGCTCCCTCATCCCAGGAACCTGCGATAGCGTGAGCCAGGCCGCCCAAGCGCACTGCAGCCTTTCGGCCAGCGTCGGCAGCAATGTGCTGCGCAACACCTGCTGCATGGCACGACCAGCACGACAAATTCGAGGAGCGCCAAGCTGCAGCCTCGACGGCTGCACCATGCACCTGGTGTGGGGAGCAGTCGCGCTTGGCGAGCGTGTCAAGTGCGTCCCAGTGGCACGAGGGTTCTGTGCTTGCAGGAGGCCTGGCATGCAAACAGGTGCGAAGTACATCGAAAGTTAGGGGCTCGGCTCGGGCAGCTTCAAACCG